TGGCTTTGTGAGAGCCTAGGCAGTTTGGATGCTCACCTTACTAGACCTGGATGGAGGAGGGTGGTCTTTGGACTTCCCACAGGGCAGGGAACCCTGATTGCTCTTTGGGCTGACGAGGGAGGGGGACTTGATCGGGGGAGGGGAGGCGGCGGTGGGGAAGAGACAGAAATCTTTAATAAATAAATAAATTAATTAAAAAAAACATACATTGAAGAAGACAAAATTCACCAAAGTAAAAAAAAAAAAAAAAAAACGTATGTTTGTAGCAGGAGTTCTTTAGGTTCAGCGCTTTTGTTGTTGCTTTGGTTTTTTAAAAGACAGCCCTTGGATCTAGCCCAGGATAGCTTGGAGCTCAAAATCTACTACTACCTCAACCTTCTAAGTGCTAGAATTACAGTCATGTACTACCATTCCTGGCCCACAAACAATGTCTCCTGAAAACTAGGTAAGTGATAGGATTTTTAAAATTTTATTTTGTAATGTGTGTGCTTGCCACAGCCCATGTGTACAGATCAGAGGACAACTTTCAGGAGTTGGTCCTCTCCTTCAACCAAGGGTTCCAGAGATGGGACTCAGGTCATCGATGCACAGCCCTTTTAAACAACCTTTCTGACAGATTATAACCCTAACACTTGACAAAGCAAGTGTGTTATACAACGGGACACAGAATACCAGTGTAATAGGGGAATATTCTATTCTAATCCACCAAGAGCAACCAGCTGATAGGCCAGCATATTCCTCCTCTCTTTCATCCTTTTGTGAGGCACCAGGCCACCTTGGAGCTTTTACTACTACTTTATATCACTAGCCCTCTACCCACCTATTATTTTTTGGGCTCATCACTGCTATTTGCTCCCGCCCCATTTATCATACCTTCACTAAGAGCCTCTCTTAAAGCTACAACACCTCTTGCCCTGGGACCTTTTCTCCAAGTGCCCTCTCATTCTTGCAAACTAGCTACCATAAGCAAGCACCATTCCTCTGTCTGTAATCATCTTTCTGTTTACTCAGTAGGAATGTTATTCGTTAAGGCCAAAAAGACTAAGCTACAAAAAGCTAAGAGAAATCCACACACCTAGGACAGCCCTAGTGGAATAAAAGGACTAGCAGATAAAACCAATATAGTAAGAAGAGCAACACTATTTTCATAAATTTCTGATAATATCTAGCTTAAGAGAAAAACTGAGACTTTCAAATCATCTGCATAATTTAAAATCTATTGCTTTGGGCTGGAGAGATGGCTCAGAGGTCAAGAGAACTGTCTGCTCTTCCAGAGGTCCTGAGTTCAATTCCCAGCAACCACATGGTGGCTCCCAACCATCTGTAATGAGATCTAGTGCCCTCTTCTGGCCTGCAAGTATACATGCAAGCAGAACACTGTATATCTAATAAAGATTTTTAAAAAATTAAAAAAAAATCTGCTTTATTTAAATTCAAGTATAAGAATATTAAAATCCAGCCCCACAAAGAAATAGAGTAGTAAAGAAATAATATTTTAGATAAACATGAATATTTTTTGATACCACACCAAAAATTAAGTAGCAGTGATCCCTTAAAGATTTGTGCTAAACTGGGGTTGTGAGAGTTGGTTAAACAGTTAAGAATGTACTACTCTTCCAAAGGGTCTGAGTTTAGTTACTAGCACCCAATCAACTGGTGCACATCTACTTCTCACTCCAGATCCAGGGAATCTAATGACCTCTTCTGGCCTCCTTGGACAGGCATGGACACACACTCCTACCTGTAATGCCAGCTTCAGATAGCATGCACGCACACGCACTTGCGCGCGCACAGACACACACACAGCCTGTAATGCCAGCTCCAGGATATCCCATTTTCTCTCCTGGCCTCCATAGGTAACTGCACTGACACGTATGTGTTTTATATGTGTGCACACACATATAAAAACTAAAAATTCAAAAAAAAAATCTTGAGCTGGGCAGTGAGTGCACACCTTTAATCCTAGTACTCAAGAGACAGAGACAGGTGGATCTCTGAGTTCAAGACCAGCATGGTTCACAGAGTAAGAAATAAATGAATGAAGCGAATAAATGAATAATAAGATAGATCTTTTTAAAATGGGTTGTGCAAGCTAAAATCTAATCAACTCTATATTCTGTCTCAATAAAATTTGTTGTTCTGACTTGCAGACAGTCTCACAGACTTTGACTCTTTCTTTTACTTGTTTTGTATTGAGGATACAGTATCTCTATCCAACAGCTTTGAAGGAAATTCTTTTTCCTATGATTTGGGTGTCATCTCAAAGGCCTTTGTGATAATGGCTTGGTTCCCACCACAGCACTATGAACACTATGTGAACCTTTGAGAACTGAACTCACGACCTCTGGAAGGATAGTCAGTGTTCTTAACCTTGGAGCTATCACCCCAGCACGTGGATAACATTTTAATCCTTTAAAAAAAATTAAGGCAGGCCATGGACGTGGTGGGGCGCATGCCTTTAATCCCAGCACTCAGGAGGCAGAGGCTGGCTGATCTCTGTGAGTTCAAGGCCAGCCTGGTCTACAAGAACTAGTTTCAGGACAGGCTCCAAAGCCACAGAGAAACCCTTTCTCAAAAAACAAAAACAAAAAAAAACAAACAAACAAACAAAAAAATTAACACCCCTTCTTGCCTGGTATAGTGGCACACATCTTTAATCCCAGAATTCAGGAGACAGAGGCAAGAGGATCTCTGTGCGTTCAAGAGTATAACAAGCTCCAGACTAGCCAAGGACACACAGGAGACCCTGTCTCAAATACATAAATAAATCAAATTTTTAAAAATTATTTCTTTTTGAGGTCAGCTTGGTCTACAAGAGCTAGTTCCAGGACAGGCCCCAAAGCTACAGAGAAACCCTGCCTTGGGGGAAAAAAATTTTTTTGTTTCCCCTATCCTAGTTTTCTACAAAACTTAAAACAGGTACCTTATTTTCATGTTTCAAACCATTTCTCTATACTAGTGTTCTCAATACAATATACATTTCACCATGGTTACCCTACCACAATAAGATTCATCTTCTATTTTTTAAGTAATACCTAAAAATATTTGCCTCGTAAAAGGAAGCAGGTGCTCATTAGACTATGACTGTTCTTTAAAATGTATTAAATACCCCATACTTTAGTGTGTTCTGAATTCACCCAATTTTTTTAACATTTTTTTTTCTTTTTGACATGGAATAAAGACTAATTTTCTCCTTTATCCAAAACAAGAGCAGTATTTGGAGACATTAAAATGAGAGCAGGCAAGGGATACAAAACAATAAAAAGCAGTAAGTCAAATGTATATTGAGCTATCAGTAATATGTACATTTAGAAGAAGACACAACATAAAATTAAAGATTCTTTTTAATATAATGACACTGGTTTCCATGACATGCAGCAATTCCAAAGGGAGTGCATGTTGGGGTGGGGGCAGGCATGGTAGCACAAAAGTTTAATCCTGGAATTTGGAATGTAGAGCACAGAGCAGGTAGTCTCTGAGATCCAGACCAGCTAAGGCTATAGTTACACCCTCCCTTACAATAAAAGATAGTAATTCTTTTTGGTAAATTTTCTCCTTGCTGTTATTATTCTCTGTTAAGGAATGCAGCTTACCTGGGGAAGAATATAGAAATATAAGATAAGAACTGATTCTATAAATGACAAAATAATCTGAGTAAGCCCTCATATCTTCAGTTCGTTTATTAAAATCCTAGACAATAACAAAATCAAATAAAATTAAGCAAATAAAGTAAACTTACCACCAAACAAAGGTTCTGGCTCCACCAATATTTCTTGCTTTTGAGGAATTGGGGCACGAACTTCTTCTCTGTTAAAAATAAAAGTGTGAATATATCAAAATAAAAACTGTTTTTGTGATACCTATTTTCCTTCTAAATTGTGACTGTATTCAAATTAACAAGTGAAACAAACATGATTTTTTAAAAAACTACAGTAATTAGAAAAAGAAGTTGTAAATGATTTCTAGACAGAGATTAACTAGAATAAAATATATACCACAGAAAGCTAAAATGGTTTACAAAGAAGAAAGTAAAAAGAAAAAATATCTCTTTCCATCTCAGGTCCCTTAAGACATTTACTTTTAAGATTACTATTATTTAGCCGGGAGGTGGTAGCGCACACCTTTAATCCCAGCACTCAGGAGGCAGAGGTAGGCAGATCTCTGTGAGTTCAAGCCCAGCCTGGTCTACAAAAGCTAATTCCAGGACAGGCTCCAAAGCTACAGAGAAACCCTGTCTCAAAAAAAAAAAAAAAAAAAAAAAAACCAAAAAAGATTACTATTACTTAATTATAGGGGATAAGGGAGATATATACATAGTTAAGACCTCAGATTCCCCTGAGCTACAATTATAGGTGGTTGCAAGCCCCCCAAAATTCTTAGAAACAAGGAATTTATCAAAAAGAAAAAAAAAGTCAAGTAAAAATGACTGGAAAGGGCTGGAGAGATGGCTCAGTGGTTAAGAGCACTGCCTGCTCTTCCAAAGGTCCTGAGTTCAATTCCCGGCAACCACATGGTGGCTCACAACCATCTGGAATGAGGTCTGGTGCCCTCTTCTGGCCCGCAGACATACACACAGACAGAATATTGTATACATAATAAATATTTTTAAAAAATGACTGGAAAAATATAGGCTTACTAGAATAAATATAATTAATGCTACATCACATAATAATTAAAAGAATATATTAAAGTAAGCTTCAACAAATCAGCACTAAATTTTTTTATGCTATGAAGGAAGAAGCTACCATAGTTACAATCTTATAAGTATTTACTCAACAGATCCTATTATACAGAAGAGGAATCTTCTATATAAAACATATAAGGAAATATATAACAATGTATAATAAACATGTAATAAAATACAAACTCTTACTTTGAGACTTTTTTTCTTTTTTTGGCTTTTGTTCAAGACAGGGTTTCACTGTGTAATAGCCTAGGTTGTCCTGGAATTAGCTCTATAGACCAGGGTGGCCTTGGATTTAAGATATCTATCAGCCTCTGCTTCCTGAGTGCTGGGATTAAAGGCATGTGCCACCACCAACATCCAGCAAAATTTCATTTTCTATGTGTATGAATGCTTGCCTCAATGTCTTCACACCTTGTGAATGCATGCCCTGGGACTGGAATTCAGATTTAGTCCTCTAGAAAAGCAGCCAGTGCTCCTACCATCAAACCATCTCTCCAGCACCAATAATTACACATCCTATAAAAGGTGATTCTGGAGCTAGGGAGATGGCTCAATGGGTAAACATGCCCGCCCTCATGTCTGCTGAGTTGAACTGGATTCCAATACACAAGGTAGAAGGAGAAAGTAGATTTTCAAAATTTGTACTCTAATCTCCACACATGCCAAGATGTGCATATCCATACACATACATACAGAGAGATAAATATCTTAATAAAATTTAAATAAATTAATTAAATTAAAGTCTACTCTCAGCAAGATAGAGCTCAGCAGTAGAACACATGCCTGTCCTGTATTTGATCCAACACTGTGAATAAATTAAAAGAAAAAACAAAAAACATTCTTTTCAAAGTTTATCTTCATAGACTGAATATAATTACTCACTAATAACTCAGTTAAAAAATATTCGTTTTTATAAACTTTATTTTTTTTTCTAGGAAGAAATCATTTTGCTAAGTGGTTTATACTAGGACTGATAACTCAGTGGTTAAGAGCATTAGCCGTTCTTCCAGGGGATCCCAGGTATGATTTCCAGCATTGATATGGCGGCTCATGTAACTCCATTCCCAAGGAATCCAACACCCTCTTGTGGCCTCCATGTCACCAGGCATGCACATGGCACACAGACATACATACAAGAGACATACATGCATAAATCCGAATACATAAAATAAATAATAAATCTTAATAATAAAATAAATAGGATCTGGGCTGGGCATGATGTCCCATACTTTTAGTCCCAGTACTTGAGAGGCAGAGAAAGATGGATCTCTGTAAGTTCAAGGCCAGCTTGATCTTCAGAGCTTAGTCATCAGAGAAATGCAAATCAAAACTCTGAGATTCCATTTTACATCTGTAAGAATGGCCCAAGATCAAACATACTGATGACAACTTATGCTGGAGAGGATGTGGGGTAAAGGGAACACTTCTGCATTGCTGGTGGGAGTGCAAGCTGGTACAGCCCCTTTGGATATCAGTGTGGCAATTTCTCAGAAAATTAGGAAACAGTCTTCCTCAAGACCCAGTAATACCACTTTTGGGTATATATCTAAAGGAAGCTCAACTGTGCCACAAGGACATGTGCTCAACTACGTTCATAGCCAGAACCTGGAAATAACCTAAATGCCCCTCGACCAAAGAATGGATAAGGAAAATGTGGTACATTTACACAATGGTGTACTACACAGCAGAAAAAAATGATATCTTGAAATTTGCAGGCAAATGGATGGAGCTAAAAAACATCATTTTGAATGAGGTAACCCAGATATAGAAAGACAATTATCATATGTACTTACTCATAAGTGGTTTTTAAACATAAAGCAAAGAAAACCAGCCTACAAATCACAATCCCAGAGAACCTAGACAGCAATGAGGACCCTGAGAGAGACATACAAGGATCTAATCTACACAAGAAGTAAAAAAAGACAAAATCTCCTGAGTAAATTGGGAGCGTGGGGACCTTGGGAGAGGGTTAAAGTGGAGGGGAGAGGCAGGGAGGAAAGCAGAGAAAAAAGTAGAGCTCAATAAAATCAATAGAATCTGGGCATGGTGTCACATGCTTTTAGTCCCAGCACTTGAGAGGCAGAGACAGGTGGATCTCTGTAAGTTCAAGGCGAGCTTGGTCTACAGAGTGAGTTCCAGGACAGTGAAAGATATGCAAAGAGACCCTGTCTCAAAAAACCAAAAGATAAAAAATAAATAGCATGTTACCTTTAAAATCAGTTTATTTGAAGTTATAACCAAATATTAAAAGTATTTAATATTTTTAGGCTTAAATGTCATCGAAAATAACAGTTAATTTTAAGAATTTTATGCATATAAACAAGCAAGATGACTCACTAGATAAAGGCTCTTGTCACCAAAGCCTGACCAACTTATTGGATCCCTAGAACAACATTTGGAAGGAGAGAACTAACTGCCTCAAGCTGTCCTCTGACCTTCCCATAAGTCATATGGCAACCCACATACCCAAACACTTATATGGGGGAGACAAAGAATAATAAACATACGGGGATCAGTTTAAATTAGACCTAATGATTTCTACCATGTGTTCTTCTCATGCCCTGCAAAACCCCTTGCCCACCATACACACACTTTTTTGGAGCCCATTTCTGAGCCAGGTTCTAACTAGGCTGGCTTCAAACTTCAATTCTCACTGAGCTAGGGTTGCACTGGGCATGTTGATGCATGCCTTTAATCCTAGAACTAAAGAGGTAAAGACAGATGAGTTTGAAGCCAGTCTGACCTACATTAGACCCTGACTCAAAAAAGAAAAACAAAATACCTCAAAGGCTGTGGAAATTACAAACATGTGCCATCAACTCTAACAAGGACCTAGTTTTTCAATATCTAACAGTTGGAATTTTGAAATCCAACACTTGGAGTTCAAAGACATAGTTTATATTTAAAGAAAAAAAACAATGAATATTAATTTGTCAGTGAACACTAATACTCTGTAATTAAAAAACCACCAGTTATACAAATCTATAATAAGAAAAATGATGAAAGAATAATTCAAGATTATGTCCAATATTCTTTCCTACTTTTTGTTTTTAAGTTTTACTACATAACTAAGGCTGGCCTCAAACTTGAGATTCTCCTGTCTCAACATTCCAAGTGCTGGGATTAACCATTGGTGGTTCAGTGGTAGGAGTCTCACCTGCTATGTGTTGGGGTTATAGGAATGTGCCACCACACCCAGCTGCTCTTTCCTACTGGACATAGGTCACTGCTCATATGCAGAATTTCAATAATCTGAAGGAACAATCTATCTGTAGAAGAAAGTCTAGTAAACACTTTGCTGGTTTTGGTGACCCATGTCTATAGTACTACTACTTTGAAGGCTGAAGTAGGCAGTCATGTGAGTCCAAGAGTCCAGCCGGGACAACAAAGGAAGACTCCATTTCAGGGAGAGTAAGGAGATGGGGAAAGGGAGTAAGGAAGGACCCCTTAGGAACTTTTAAAAGCGTTAACAATAAAAATTTTTTTGAAATATGTAACTGGAGTTACAATGATTGTGAAACAGCAGATGAGTGTTTGGAATGAATTACATCTGTGTCCTCTGAAAGTGCTCTTAACCATGAGGCATCTCTTCAGCCAGCCACAACTAGAAAATTCTTAACCACTTCTGCCATATTATGCTCATCACACTCATCTGCTGTTTCACAATCACTGTAACTCCAGTTCTAGGAAACCCAATGCCTTCTGTGCTCTGTGGGCTTCAGTCATACACTTTGTACACAGATATGCATGCAGCTCAACATAAAACAAACAAACAAATAAAATAAAAATAGTTTCAAGTTCCAACTCATTAAAAAAAATATGTAACTGGAGACTTCTCTTGCGTTTCCTGGCCACCCAGACCTGAATAATCACAGAGAAACTATATTAATTACAATACTGTTTGGCCAACAACTCAGGCATATTTCTTGCTAGCTCTTATATCTTAAATTAACCCATTTCTTTTATTTTGTATCATATCACAAGGCTCATGGTTTGTTACCTCTTACTTCTTGGACAGCTACATGGCGTCTCCCTGACTCCGCCTACTCTTTCTATATCTCTTCCAGCCTGGCTATATTCTGCCCTGTTATAGACCAAAGCAGCTTCATTCATTAACCAATAAAAGCAACACATATAGAGGAAGACATTCCACATCAGAAATAGCGTATCATGTAACCCAAGCTGGCCTTGAACTTGTTATGTAGCCATCACTGCCCTAGAAATTTTTATATTCCTGTCCCCACCTCCCAAGTGTTAGGATTAGAGGTGTGAGCACTATCATGCCAAGCTTTAAAAAACATCTTTTATACAAGTAAATTTTTTAAAATTGGTATACTGTACTTCACATGGTATGTGTAAAATTGCCTCAGTCAAGACAATTTACTACTTAACTGCACTCCAATGAAATATCTCAAATAAATTAATAGTCCTGAGGATGGAGAGATGGCTCAGTAGTTAAGGGGGCTTGTTGCATGCTCAATCATGAGTTTTGATCCTATCATTCACAAAAACCTGTAACTCTAGCTCTAAGAAATCACACACTCTCTACTGGCCTCCATGGGCACTCACACACACATAGGTATGAACACGAACATCTTTTTAAAAAAAAATACCTATAAAGACTCAATTACTGTACATCTGAAGATGTTTGGCGACGTTAACTACATTGAGTGGAAAAACAGAAGGTGATTTGGAAGGGAAATTCTAGTTAAGGAATTAGGAGTTCATCAGTTAGCACATAAGTTAACCAAATCATGATGCAACTAAATAGGAAAAGATACTCATTTATGAGAAATATTTGTTACTTAAAAGGCTGAGTCAAAAGAATCTCTGGAGCTAAGGAGTTTGAGACTAGGTTAGACAAAGCAATGAAACGCTACCTCAAAATGGTAAAAATAAATGCTATAGGGCTAGGATTTAACTCAATGGCAGAGTACTTGCCCAGCAATGGTGAGGCCCTGGGTTTCAACACATGCACATGCATACAATGCTGTCAAAGGCACTAAAAAAAAAAAAAAGCCAAACTGCCAGTCATAGTGGAGCACACCTTTAATCCCAGCACCCAGAAGTAGATGCAGACAGATCTCTGAGTTTGAGGTCAGCCTGGTCTACATACATAGTGTGTTCCAGGTCCCTGGTCTCAAAACAAAAACTACTATTTCAGGTATAGTCAAACACACACACACACATACACACACACACACACACACACACACACACACGTGCGCCCACAAATCAACTGCAAATATCTACTATTGATGTTTCTATCAACTAATTTTTAAAATATTGTTTGTTTGTTTGTTTGTTTGTTTACTGGAGCAGGCTAGCCTGGAATGTGCTATGCAGGCAAGAATAAGAATTCAGAGATCCACTTGTCTGCCTCCAGTGGGCTGTAATAAAGGTGCATAACATATCATCTGGCTCAATATTGATTTCTATTAAAACTCTGAGCCATGTTGGGGAATGAGATCACACTTAAGACAAATGTCAACAGAAAACAAAAAACAAACAAGCAAAAACTTTGTAAGCTATTAATATGATCTCTAAAGTTCATAATGCATGTAAAAACAATATTCCATTAATCTGAAACTAACTCAACAAAGGAACAATTATACTTGTATATGACCTGGTTCTTAAATTATATCTGATTTCATAAAAATAAAAGCCTGGCCCTTTGCCTTTTGTACTTAAAATGACTCCTTTGTTTCTCATATTATAAATTATCAGAATTACAAAAGGCTAAGAGTATTAAAGTCTTACTTAGGGACTCTTAAATTAAGGGTTTTTCTGGTTTGGTTCTGTTTTTCAAGACAGGGACTATACAGACCATGCCAGCCTCTGCCTCCTGAGTGATGGAACTAAAAGCACAGGCTACTAAGCCTTGCCACTTTTGACGTTTTTTTGTTTTGTTTTGTTTTTGGTTGTTGTTGTTAAAGCTAATGCTTAGTCAGGAATTGTGGGCAAACCTGGAATCCTAATACACAGGAAGATATGAATTCAAGGCCAGCCTAGGCTACACAGCAATGGTATCTCAAAACAAAGAAAAAACTCAATGGCCATCTGAGAGCAGGGACATGTGCCTAGAGTAGTCCCAACAAGGTTCGGACCTAATACTTTCCAAAGACTGATGAAATTTTGCTCAAAAGTTAGGTATTTATTGCAAACTCTTACTAATCAAATATAAAAGGCTAGAAAAAAAATCAAACATATACAGTTCTATATACAGTGGGGATGCATTAGTGATTAGGCAGGTAACTAAAGAATAAAGAACTGAACTGGGCAGTGATGCCACACACCTTTAATCCCAGCACTTAGGAGGCAGAGTCAAGCAGGCAGACCTCTGTGAATTTGAGGTCAGACTGGTCTACAGAGCAAGTTCCAGGACAGCCAAGGCTACACTAAAAAAAAAAAACAAAAAAAAAAAAACACCTGTCTCAAATAAACAAACAAACAAAAAAAGAATGAAGGATTTTTTTAAAATGATGTATTTACTTTTATTTTATCTGCATTGGTGTTTTGTCTGCACGCACGTCTGTGTGAGTGTCAGAGACCCTGGAACTGAAATTACAGTTTTGAGCTACCATGTGGATGCTGGGAATTGAACCCAGGTCCTCTGGAGGAAAAAGATACCTGCTTTTTAACTGTGATGTAGCTTAGGAAAAAACAGCCATGCTCTAGTTTCCTGAGACAGAAAATAATAATACCAAACTATAACGTTCTTTAAAAAGAACAAAAATCAAAATGGCTTCAAACTTGCTGCGTAGCTAAAGACTGCTCCTGTCTCCACTTCCTAAGTGCTAGGACTACGAGCATGTGTCACCAAGTCTGGTTTATCTAGTGTTGAGGCTTAAACCCAGAATTTCTTGGATGTTAGGCAAATACTTTATCAACTGAGCAAAATCCTAAGCCAACAAAATTCTTTTTGGCTGTGGAGTACATAAACCCCAATTTCAGACCAATTATAATCAAGCAGTCGTAGCCTGCCCGCCTGCCCGCCTGCCCACCTTTAACCCACGCTTTCGTTTGAAGACTAAAAATGAGGATTAAAGAGACAAGATGAAAATAAATAAATATGTAAATAAATAAATGAAGAGACAAGATGGCATGCTCTAGAGAATTTAAGGTATAGTAAACACAAAAATTTACACATATTTTTCAGAGGCTTTCAACCTTAAATGTTTTTCAAAACTTTACCTAGCTTTGATAAAAATGCAACTAGTTAATTTAGGCAAAGAGTAACTGCTACAATAAATAATAAATTCATACTCTGTGTGTGGTCTGACTGCAGAGACACTTGCTGAACTGGTACTGGGCTCCTCAGCAATTCCTCCACCATCCAAAAACATAGTGACCGCCATCTCCAGGTTGTTGTTACAAGCTTCAAGCATATGTTTTCCTACACTTTCACTTGCACCTGAAAAAGCAAATGAACAGAAAAAAAGTTAAAAAATGACATCTTACATTCCAGCTCATGTTAAAATATGGAATCCCCAAAAAGATTATCTGTCTTCCCCCTTTAAAATGACTTGTACAAAACACATTTATTCACTCTGTCCTGTTGCCTGGCTGGAATAAATACCAGAGTTAGAAAACAACATAACAGTACCACAGCAGTAAGACAAGAGTACAAACAAGAACAAAAAAATGGCATTTCTTTTCTTTTTCAAGTATGTGTGTAGTTTTCTGTTTAAGACAGTCTCATACTATAGCTCAACTCAGAAATCCTCCTCCTCAGCCTCAAATACTAGTCTTACAAGAATAGCCACTACTACGCTTGGCTGGCTATTTGTCATTTGTTTGTATATTATGGGTGTGCGTATGCATGTACGTGCATATGGGTGTATCATGGCACATGCATGGAGGTCAAAGGACAATATCTGGTACTGTTCCTTGCTTCTGTCTTGTCAGAGAAAGAGTCTCTTACCTGCCACTACATACACAGGCTAGAGACCTAACAAGCTTTCAGGAGATTCTCTAGCCTCTCATCTCAGTGTAGAAACACTGGGGTTACAGATGTGTGCTACGGTGACTGGCTTTACATAGGGTTTGGGGATTTGAATTCAAATCCTTATGCTTGCATCTCCTCAGCTCTACTTGCAATTTCTTTAAATGGCTGAATTGACTAGTGTAGTGGTACATACAAACACTGGGGACTCAGAGACAGGTGGATCTCTGTGAGTTTAAGACCAGCCTAGGACTATACTGTAAAACCCCGTTTCAAAAATCAAAACCAAAAAAAAAAAATCAAGATAGGTATATTATTTGTTAATAATAAAATGGAATAAAGAAAAATTAAAGACTACATTCTAGAAAGTTAGAAATATTGTTAGAAAGAATGCAACTCAACTAACATTTTCTCATCTACTCAAAAAATTTTTTGAGGAGGGGCTAGGCTATGGCTCAAACTCAGAACACTTTTAACACTTTTTTTTTTTTTTTTTTTGGAGATAGGGTTTCTCTGTTGCTTTGGAGCCTGTCCCGGAACTCACTCTGTGGACAAGGTTGACCTTGAACTCACAGAGCTCCACCTCCCTCTGCCTCCCAAATGCTGAGATTAAAGGATTAAAGGCAAGTGTCACCAAGGCCCTGCCCCAGAACACATTTTTAATGTCAAACCAAGAAAAGCAGAGACCATTTTTGTCAAGATATAAATATCTGGTAAGAAATGTCAACCTTTGCTATTTAAAACTGGTCCAAACAATCATTTGTAAATAAAGCCAGCACAATTTGTTGAGTAAAATGTAAATTGGTAAAGTCCTCTTAAAAATAATTTTACATGTACTAGAAATTCCTTTTTTGACTCAGTTGTACAAACTTCTTGAATCAAATCAACATGAAATATTACATGCAACACATGTCCAGAAATATGTTCAGAGTAGATTCAGTTAATGAAGCAAATTTTGAAAACATAAAGCATTCTATACTAGTACAATGTGAACCATAATATGTATTTGATTTAAATATTATATGGCTACTGCAAATCACCTTGAGCTTTCTATTTGAGTTAAGTTTTCTTTATCTGAATTATATCCCTCGGAATCTTGTTCTGTTGGTAGCAAATGCACTAAGATTTTTGTCTCAAAATGTCTATTGTGAAAGCATTTTACTGAGTATGCCATTTCAGGCTGACAGATGTTTTGTCTCAGTATACAAGGCAGAATTCCAATGTGCTCTGCTTTCTGTTGCTATAGCTGGGAAGTCAGTTGTCAGCTTAATGAAAATTTTTTTTATAGCAGTTTGTTGGTTCTAGAACTTTTAAGGTTTCTGTCACTGGGCTGCAGTTTCCACTGTGACTTGTTAAAGCTAATCTTATTTATTTCTTGGGATTAACTGGATTTCTTTTCTTTTTTCATTCCTTTTTTTTTCCCCCAAAACAGGGTTTCTGTGTGTTTGCCCTGCCTGTCTTGGAACTCCTTTTGTAGACCAGACTGGCCTACACTCACAGAAATCTGCTTGCCTCTGCCTCCTGAGTGCTGAGATTAAAGGCGCGCGTCACCTATTTTAAAGACTGCCTCTTACATCTTCATGCTGCTCTCAGCAGTCTCTTACTGTTCACTCCTTCGAGATAGAGTTTGGCTCTGTAACCCAGGCTACAGCCTCCTCTTTCCTCAATCCCCCAGTCTTCGAATTACAGGCGCATGGCAGCTCATTTTGACTTGGTGATATCTTCACTTCTTTCTTCTAGTTCACATATTTTTTCTTTAGGTATATCAACTGATTTATCATTTTATCCTTTATTAAGTAGTTCTATTTATTCCAAGTTCTTCATCTGATCATATTTTAAGAAAGCCTCGGCCGGGTGCATGCCTTTAATCCCAGCACTGGGGAGTCAGAGGCAGGCAGATCTCTGTGAGTTCAAGACCAGCCTGGTCTACAGAGCTAGTTCCAGGACAGGCTCCAAAGCCACAGAGAAACCCTGTCTCAAAAAACCAAAAGAAAAAAAAAAAGAAAAAAGAAAGCCTCAATTCACATTCCTACTTCAACCTTTAATTTCA